CAGCGCTGGACACAAATGAGCTGCGTAGGTCAGGCCCGCGGGCAGCGCCGGGAGGTCGCACTGACCAGCATGATTGCTGCCGCAGGCCACGGCGGTGCCGTCGCTCCTGAGCAGCACCGTGTGCCTCCCTCCAGCGGCGACCTGCGCGTAGGTCAGGCCCGCGGGCAGCGCGGGGAGGTCGCACTGACCAGCACGATAGCCACAGGCCACGGCGGTGCCGTCGCTCCTGAGCAGCACCGTGTGGTCCTCTCCAGCGGCGACCTGCGCGTAGGTCAGGCCCGCGGGCAGCGCCGGGAGGTCGCACCGACCATACTGATTCCAGCCGCAAGCCACGGCGGTGCCGTCGCTCCTGAGCAGCACCGTGTGGTCCCCTCCAGCGGCGACCTGCGTGTAAGTCAGGCCCGCGGGCAGCGCCGGGAGGTCGCACTGACCTTCATGATTGTTGCCGCAGGCCACGGCGGTGCCGTCGCTCCTGAGCAGCACCGTGTGGCACCCTCCAGCGGCGACCTGCGTGTAGGTCAGGCCCGCGGGCAGCGCGGGGAGGTCGCACCGACCAGCAAGATTCCTGCCGCAGGCCACGGCGGTGCCGTCGCTCCTGAGCAGCACCGTGTGGTTCTCTCCAGCGGCGACCTGCGTGCAGGTCAGGCCCGCGGGCAGCGCCGGGAGGTCGCACTGACCAGCACGATTGCTGCCGCAGGCCACGGCGGTGCCGTCGCTCCTGAGCAGCACCGTGTGGAACCCTCCAGCGGCGACCTGCGTGCAGGTCAGGCCCGCGGGCAGCGCCGGGAGGTCGCACTGACCAGCATGATTGCTGCCGCAGGCCACGGCGGTGCCGTCGCTCCTGAGCAGCACCGTGTGGTTCCCTCCAGCGGCCAACATCTCTGCGGGCGAGCCCGCCGGGAGCCGCCCGATCCCCAGGGCGAGGCGCGGCGCGGGCGGGACAGGCTCGAGCCGAGAGCGGGCCGCGCGAGGGGCCAGCGGGGGCGGCCAAGGAGGCCGAGGGCGGGCGGCCCGAGAGGCGGGCCTGCCCGGAGGGGCCGGGGGTCCTCGCTCCCTCCCCTCTACCCCCCCGAGCCACCTCCCCTCCCCCCCCCGAGCCACCTTCCCTCCTCCCTCCCTCCTCCCTCCCTCCTCCCTCGCTCCTCCTCCCTCCTCCGTCCCTCCCTCCCCCAGAAACGGCCCAGGGGGACGGGCGTAGACAAAGACAAGTTCACAGGTTCACAGCCTGGCCTGTCTGTTCTGGAGCTTCGTCTGCCCCGCCAGTTGCCGTATTTTCCGGGGGCTCGCCGTGCGCGCGTGTCTGCGTATGGCGGGGTTCCCCCGAGGCTCGGCGACCTATACGCTGGGCCCTCGGGCTGCCCGGCGCGTCGCGGGGGGAGGCCGGGGAGAGGGGCCCCGCGCCCCCTGCGAGGCCCCGCCTCGATCGGGGGGCGCCGCGGGCAGTGGCCTCCGACACTTCGTGGGTGGATCGCGCAGCCCTGTCGCGGCCTTCCAGAGGCGCAGGTCGCCCGGGCGCTGCTGTGCTTAATTACTGGGGGGGGGGGGGGGGGGGGGGCGATCGTCGTGCGAGGGGGAGAGGGGGGGGAGAGGGCGAGGAGGCGCGCGCCCCTGCCGTGCCCCTTTCGGGCCCCGCGGGGGCCCCCTCTAGGGCGCGAGGGGTGGCGCCTGGTCTTCCCCCCCCCCCTCCTTCCATTCGCCCCCCGCCCATGACGCAGCGCCCGAGTCGTTCGATGTCGGCGGATGCCGGGCCGCGTCCAACGTTCGACCTTGAATGCCCGCGCTGGAGTCGCCGCCACGTCGGCACGACGCGAGCGCGTCGTGAACCGCTGACGCGCTACGAAAGGGGGCAGCAGAGTCAAGGGCTCAGGAGGGTACTCTGGGTGGCAGAGGCTTCCGAGAGGCTAGCAAAGCGGCCGCGTCCATCCTGGCCGTCAGCAAGCCCAGTGCTCCTCGCAGTGGATGCTTCCCGCAGAGCTCGGCGCCGCAGCAAAAGCCGAGACGCGCAGCGTGCTCATTCTGCCCCTGGAGAGGCGCTTCCCTGGCTCCGGGAGCGCTCAAGAACGCGACCCAGGACGACAGACTGGCCCTACGGGAACGGGGGCAGGGTGGCCTCTGATGCGTCTTCAGTGCTTCCGGATGTCTTCAGAGGTCAGCTGGTGCCTTGGAGGATCGGAGGGGGGCCAATATTTGAGTTATGCAGGAGGGATGCCCAGAGTCGAGGGAGATGCAACGGTGCCTTGCCCTAAAGACGCACCCTCAGCGCCGAGGTTGAGTGTGCAGGCGGCAAGAGGAGCAGGGCACTGGGAGGGGGGGAGGGGGAGGGGAACGCTTTCTGGGACGAAGAAGAGGAAGAGAAGGAGGAGGATGGAGGAGGAGCAGCAGCGTCTGGATGCAAGAAACCTTGGCTAGTCAGCATGGCCGTTGGGGGGCGCAAGCAGCGCCCGGACGCAAGAGCGCACTAGAGGCATCCTACATGGGGTCCGAGTAGACGGGGTCGGAGGATCGCACCAGATCGCCGATGCATCACCGATGCACCGGCGATGCATCGGCGATGCACCGACTGCGCATCGTCGATGTTGGCGGTGCATCGGCGCCGTCGACGCGAGGCAAAGCGGGCCCCACATCGAGCCGCATCGGCGATGCATCGGCGGTGCGGCGCGATCCTCCGACCCCATCTGACTCCGACCCCATCTAGGAGGCCTGTAGACGCACGGAGCCCTACGCATGATGAGCGCGACCTCGGAGCATCCCGGGATCTCAAGACACGGCAGCGCTTGGGTACTCAGGGCTCATGGGGAAGGCACAATGCCCCCGGAGGGGGGCAGCCAACAGCTCTCCGGCGCCCTGGCGCCCGTCCGGGCACCCCCGGAAGGGCCTCGGCGAGGCGCAGCTTCTGGAGAGCACCCCGAGCGCACGGGTGCTAAAAGCTCTCGGAGGTGCGCGCCGCTGCTCTGGAATCGGCGCCAGAACACTCTGCTCCGCGCGCGGAGCGCGCCAGAGGAGCGCGGCGGAGGCACCGCCAGGGGCCTTGGAAGCGCAGATCCAAGGAACCCGCGCGCAGAGCACCGCAAGCTCGCGCGCCGCGCTGCGTCTCTTGGGGGGACCAAGAGGTGCCGATGCACGGCTACTCCCTGGACCTCTCCCGGGGTGCGTTCGGACCCGATTCTTGCAAGGCGAATCCAGCGGTGGGGACGATGGCCTCCCAGGAGGCCCAGAAAGGCGCGCACACGAGGGCAGAGTAGCGGTATGGGTGCCTTTTCCTCCTCCAAGTTGTTCTTCTCGGAGAGTGGGGACCAGAGCGGGGGTGAGAGGCAACATCAGGGGAGGAGGGGGAAGAGCTCAGGGGGTAGAGCAATCGACCTGGCATCGGCGGTGCGTCACAACCATGGCGTCGGAGTGCCTTCGTTTCTGCAGCCCCCCTGGAACCCCGGAGCGTCTGGAAGGCCCTGGAAATCCTGGATCGCAGCACATCGTGACCTCTTGCGCCTCCGAGTCAAGTCCTTCCCCTCCCATGGGCAACGCTGTCCCCCAGACGCTCGGCACTTCAATGTCTTCGATGAGAGGACCCCCGAAGGTCTGGACAGCTTCCCTACATAGGGCGGGCTTTGCATCCTGAGTCGTTTGTTGACGGTCCCGGGGCCCAGTGAAGTCCCCGGAACACCGGCAGACCAAACATCAACCGCTCCCCTGATTCGCTGAAGACTCTGATCTCTAGGCCTGGGCACGAAGGCGTCGGCGCGGACCCCCCAAAAAACAACAATTACAGCCTCCCCCCAGACCTGTCCTGGAGCGCGCCCTGGCCCGACTTTCGCGGCGAGTCCAGCCGCGGTGCCGAGGGCCGAGGGCCTCCCAGGAGGCCTTAGAGCTGATGGGCACTTGCGCTGCATCAGAAAGTGCAAGATCGCATGATGCACGCCATGTGTCGCATAAGAAGGGCTGGACTCATAGAAACCACTTGGCAGGCGACATGCTGTGTCCACCTATGCGAGCGTGCTGCCAACAGCATCATGGGGACTTGCTTCCACTGTGGGTGGCGAAGCACAGCCGTGCGAGCATCACGCGAGGAGGGGGCAGGGGCGCCGAGGCGAGGGAGGAGGGGAAAACGCTGGAGTGAGCTTCCTGGGGTGCGTAAGGATGCACTACCGCAGAGGAGGAGGAGGAGGAGGAGGAGGAGGAGGAGGAGGAGGAGGAGGAGGAGGAGGAGGAGGACCTGATGGGCACAGGCCGCCGCGACGCCCCCGCCGCTCCGCGGGAGCGCCGCGACGGGCGCGAAGGCCGCAGAGCGGGCGGCCCGAGCCCCCCCCCCCGCCCCCCAGCCCTGCGCCCTTCGGGCCCGCCCCGGGCGCCCCCCTGGGCGACTGGGGCCGCGCGGGGCCCTGCCGGGCCTGCCCCCGCGCCCCGAGCAGCTCGAGGCGGAGGCGCTCCGCGGCGCCTGGCCTAGCTGGGGCCCTCGCCGAGCGCTGGGGGGCCGCGGGCAAAACGGACTCGGGATGAGGAGCTGGCCCCAAGGAAGATTGAGCAGGGACCGACCGGTCCAGTTTTTCTATCGGCCTACCACGACATGTTCTTAGAACCCAAAAATGTGTTGTAAGAACAAGGGCAATGTTCTTAGAGCATGAACCCGATGTGTTAAAACAAGACAGACTCAGCCAGACATATTCTAAGAACATTTCGTGCAAACCAAACCAGGTTCTTTGAACATTCTTTGGTATGCCTGTAGGCGAGCCAGGACGCTTCGCCACTGCTTTAGAAGAAGGTCCAGACCTCCAGGGGGCCCCGCATGGAGAAAGTCAAAAGCAGCATCGGGGGCCTGGGCGGGGGCCACGACCTGAAGGAAATTGCACGGCGACCAGAAAACAGACATACGACGCCGTTCCTGCCGCTGGAAGGCCGCATCGCGTCGGCAAGGGGCGGCATGGGGTCGGCGCTGCGTCGGCGATGTCGCGCACCTGCCCTGGCAAACGGCACGCGCTCTGTTTATACGATCGCCGCCCTCCGCTTCAGGCTGCGGCGGGAAATGCGCTGGCGACCGTCTCCTCGGCCGCGGCGCTGCTGAGCGGGCGGCCCCCCGGCAGGATCGCCTCGACGCGCCAGGCTCCGGGGCCCAGCCTGCCCGCGCGGTGCTCGGCCACGAGCTGGAGGTAGGTGTCTGCGAGGCGGGCGGTGGGCGCCGCCCTGATCCTGCATCGCTCCACCCCGCCGATGGTGACGAAAACCATTGAGCCGCCATCGAGCGACACCTGCAGGAGCAGCGCTGGACACAAATGAGCTGTGTAGGTCAGGCCCGCGGGCAGCGCCGGGAAGTCGCACTCACCAGCATCATTCCAGCCGCAGGCCACGGCGGTGCCGTCGCTCCTGAGCAGCACCGTGTGGAACACTCCAGCGGCGACCTGCGTGTAGGTCAGGCCCGCGGGCAGCGCCGGGAGGTCGCACTGTTCACCATCATTGCTGCCGCAGGCCACGGCGGTGCCGTCGCTCCTGAGCAGCACCGTGTGCCCCTCCAGCGGCGACCTGCGGTCTCGCACTGAGATTGTTGCACGGCGGTGCCGTCGCTCCTGAGCAGCACCGTGTGGCGCCCTCCAGCGGCGACCTGCGTGTAGGTCAGGCCCGCGGGCAGCGCCGGGAGGTCGCACTGACCAGCATCATTCCAGCCGCAGGCCACGGCGGTGCCGTCGCTCCTGAGCAGCACCGTGTGGCGCCCTCCAGCGGCGACCTGCGCGCAGGTCAGGCCCGCGGGCAGCGCCGGGAGGTCGCACCGACCATCATTCCAGCCGCAGGCCACGGCGGTGCCGTCGCTCCTGAGCAGCACCGTGTGGCGCTCTCCAGCGGCGACCTGCGCGTAGGTTAGGCCCGCGGGCAGCGCCGGGAGGTCGCACTGACCAGCATCATTCCAGCCGCAGGCCACGGCGGTGCCGTCGCTCCTGAGCAGCACCGTGTGGCGCCCTCCAGCGGCGACCTGCGCGCAGGTCAGGCCCGCGGGCAGCGCCGGGAGGTCGCACCGACCATCATTCCAGCCGCAGGCCACGGCGGTGCCGTCGCTCCTGAGCAGCACCGTGTGGCGCTCTCCAGCGGCGACCTGCGCGTAGGTTAGGCCCGCGGGCAGCGCCGGGAGGTCGCACTGACCAGCAAGATTCCAGCCGCAGGCCACGGCGGTGCCGTCGCTCCTGAGCAGCACCGTGTGGCGCCCTCCAGCGGCCAGCATCTGCAGAAAACGAGGGAAGGGTAGCGGCGTGGGTACCCCGTCCTCCTCTGGGCCAGCGCGGAACGCTACAGTGGAAACGAGGGCGCTTACGCGCGACCTGACACGTGCAGCTTGCGCGCGAATGCCTGGGCAGACTGCCCCGTCTCTGCCTATCCACGGGGCCTGAGCCCCTCGAGCAGCGGTCCTGGGAGAGCCCCGGGGGCCTGCCCCGAGATCCGACGCTGCAAGATAGATGCAACATCGCAGGCAGTCGCGACCAGAGCCCGGAGGCGAGCGAAGGGCGGAAGTGAGAAGGAGGTGGCCTTCTCAGAAGGCGGCGGGACTTCTCAGAAGCCCTCGCGCCTTCCGGGAAGTTTTCTGTGTCTTCGGGGAAGGCTTAGGAAACCTATGCCATAAGGCTGGGGGACTTCCGAACCTTTTGAGAAGGCCTCCTCCTTCTCACTTCCCCCGTCGCTCGACGCCGGAAAATAGATGCACCATCGCAAACAGTCGCGACCAGAGCCCTGGACTTATGTTGCTCCCGTCGTACTTAAGGACCATACCCCAGAAATGTGCTGTCGAGCACCCAGGCAAGTATCGAGACAGTGTCTGCCCGACACGCTGGCGAAATGTCGAACGAGTATCGCCTGCCAGGGCCCGACACCTGAACACCCTCCAGTGTCGGCATTGTCTTGACGCTCGAAATTCGCTCTGTTGGTCAAGGCTGAAGAATGTTGGAACATCTTCACCCTAGACCCTATCACCCTGCTGCATTTGTCGAGCAGGATGGATCTGTGATGGCCCCGGGGCCCGAAACCCAGCCACAACGCCAGGTGTGAAAACACTGCAGCGCTCGGATCTCGGGGTACTGCGACTGTCGCCGATGTCCAAGCCAGCGCCTCGAACAATCCTGCCAAGCGCCTCGAACAATCCTGCCAGGCCAGAGACACGGTTGTCCCCCTCGCCCTGGGAGGGGCTCGGTGTACGTCGCTTGGTCGGCAGGGGAGCTCGGCTCGTAGACGCCCCAGCTGCCCAAGCTGTGGGACGCTGGAGCGTCCGTACTTTTTGGCGATCGCGGCCTCGCGCGCAGCGTCGGGGCGGAGCAGGTCGAGCAGACGGCACAGAGCCAACGCGCCTGGCTGGAGCGTCCATGCACCCGATGCCTTCGCCGAGTCCGCTGGCTCCGAGGCCGACCGAACGACGCGGTGTTACATGTCCCAAGGCTCCTGGCCCGCGGGCCCCGCCCCCCGGATGGGATAGGCCCCCAGGAACCGCGGGCCCCCTGGCTCCACGTCGAGCAGCGTCGGCGATGCATCGGCGATGCGACGCGGGCTTTGGAACACATATATATATATATATATATACACACATCATATATGTACACATGCATGCATACATATATACATATATACATAGATACATGTATACATATATACATGCATCCATCCATACATACATACATGCATACATACATACAAACATACACACAAACATACATACAGACATACATACATACATACATACATACATACATACATACATACATACATACACACATACATACACACAATCACACAGGTGTATATATACATATGTGTATATATATACACGCACGATTGTACCGGTTCGCTGCGTTTCGCCTTTACAACCTTGGTCGCATGGTGCCTGGGAATCGTTCTGGGACCGTTGGTCGGCAATGCTTGTCACTGTCGTAGGGCTCATGGGAGGCCGTTGGGCCTTCGGGCGTATAGGGATCGGAGGACCCAGTGTGCATAGGGCTCAAGAGGCTTGTTTAGGCCGCAGAGGCCGTATGGCTCATAGGGCTTTGGCTTCGGAAGATGTCCCTGGCGCCTTCGGCGCCAGGGACGGGTTTGAACATCTCGGGACCTCCTTTTGACCTTTTGGCCCTTCGTGCTGGTCTCTGGGTCCTCCATGGGGTGTTCTGGCGCCTCTTGAGCCTTCATGTAGGCCTGTGGGGCTGGATGACTCGGATTGTGGTTTCGCGTTTCCTCTCTTGGGCGCTTTTCGGAGCAGTCTTGAAGTCCTCTTCGGGCAGTCTTTGAGGCCGTCTTTGGCCGTCTTGCGGCTTTCTTGAGCTGTCATAGGGTGTTGCCTAGGGGTCTCTTGGGCTGTCGTTGGCGGTCTTGGGGTGCTTTTTAGGCTGTCGCCGAGATTCGGGGCGATGAACTGACGAGGACGCTAAAATTAATGAAACAACAATGAATATTGTTGACGCTTCGCGTATCCCCACCAACCATTTTGCTTGCTGGTAATTAGAGGGATTTTCGGACGACGCCAGAAATGGGTCTACCTGTTCTCGACGCCCTTCTGAGCTGCCGCCCGGCTGCTGCGCCTGTTTTGCTTTCCGCTTTTCGCTGCCTAATCGTGGCCCGGCTAGACTTTGGACGCCTTTTGACCCGCTTCACGAGGCCGTTGACCAAAAAGTATCCCCACCAGCCCATACGGAAACGATAGGGTGGTAGTTGGGGTAATCTGGGAAGCGGGAGAGCATGCAGAATATCAAAAAGGGAGAGAAGCCGCGAGCAGGACCAGGAGGAGGAGGAGGGGGAGGAGGAGGTGCGGGGAGGAGGAGGAAAGGAGGAGGAGGAGAGAAGAGAAGGAGGAAACGGAGGAAAAAGGGGGAGGAGGAAAAGGAGGAGGAGAAGGACGAGGGAGGAGGGAGGAGGATAGTAGTAAGGTGAAGGACGGGGTAGGAGAGAGGAGGGAGGAGGAAGTATGAGGAGGAGCAGGCGGACGAAGAGGAAGAAGGGGCGAAGGAGGAACAGGAAGAGGAGGAGAGGGCGGGCGGATGGGCCAGAGGCCTCTCGATTTGGGAGCGTACTGGAGGATTCTTGGAACGTCTTGGGGACCTCTTGGAAAGGCACGCAGCAGCGCGTCAGAGGATCGAACATCGTTTTGGAGGCGTTCGCGGCACGTCTCTGGATGCGTTCGTAGCACGTCGGAGGATCAAACATCTCTTTGTCCAAACCAGCGCGCGATGCATTTTTATTGGATTGAAGGGAAGCTTGTCATGTGCACGCGCGCAATGAATGGAGCGTAGTTAAATTTCTTCGTTGTTTTCCCATATTGATTCAAAATCTCGTTTTCTGTCCTCCATGGAGATAGTTTCGACGAGCAACTCCGACTACCGATAGTAATAGTAGCAGTACTACGACCCATCCTCCTCCTACTACTACTACTGCTACTACCACGACGACTTTTACTACAACCACTGCTTCTACTTCTACTTCTACTACTACTACGACTACTACTACGACTACTACTACTAATACTACTACTACTACTACTACTACTACTACTACTACTACTACTACTACTACTACTACTTACTACTACTTACTACTTACTACTTACTACTACTACTACTACTACTACTACTACTACTACTACTACTACTACTACTACTACTACTACTACTACTACTACTACTACTACTACTACTACTACTACTACGACTACTACTACTACTACTACTACTACTACTACTACGACTCCTACTGCTACTACTACTACTACTACTACTACCATCACTACTACTACTACTACTACTACTACTACTACTACCACTACTACTACTACTACTACTACTACTACTACTACTACTACTACTACTGCTCGGTCCCGTGCACCACATCACCACGGCTCAACCGCGGTGGGAAGAGCGCCCTTGTGGCTGCCTCATTTCCAGCATGTAGCGAGCACCTCTTCTGGGTGAAATGGCTGGTCTGACGTGCACGCAGCGGCGGGCGCTTATCCGAGGGCAGCTGGCCCCCACGGCCCAAAGTAAAGCGACAGCGGCGGCGCAGCAGCACACGGGGCGACCCCAGCACCGCCATCGAGGCCAACTAGCGCAAGTAGGCGCGAGAAGAGGCCAGGATGGCAAGCCAAAATGGCTAGGCGCACAGCGGCGTCACGGCAGCACACGGGGCGACCCCAGCACCGCCAACGAGGCCAACGAGCGCAAGTAGGCGCGAGAGGAGGCCAGGATGGCAAGCCAAAATGGCAAGCCAGAATGGCTAGGCGCACAGTTGACCGCGCGAAGAGCGGAGGCCTAAGCACCAGGGCCCGCGGCGCGAGGGGGGGCACCACTGTGGGCGCACCCGCGCAAGCTGGCAAGACGGCGTTGCTAAAGCTGGAGCGTAAGCGAGCATGCGGGCTCAGCATCCTTGAGAGTGGCAGGCTCGGGATCTTAACATGGACTCACGTTGCCTCCCCGAGGGCCTAGAAGTATACGATGCTGGGGGCCTGCAGAGTCTCAGCGTTCAGGCGGGCCGGCCTGTTCCTTGCGTAATGGCTGCGAAGACCTGCGACGGCAGCGCTTGCACTTCTCCCCCGAGGTCGCCACTGCCGCCCGCCTGCCCTGAGGGCCCAAAGATCTGGCGCTCGAGATCCTCACCGAGGGCCACGTTCAGGGCAGCGACATTAGGGATTTGCTGTGGGAGCGGGTCCGTCGGCGGCGGCGGCACCGCAGGGGGCGCCGTCAGCGGCGGCGGCGGCGGGGCCATGATGGCCGCTGGCGGGGCTCCAGCAGGCGGCGGTGGCGGGTCTTGGGGGGGGGGGACTGCCGCGGGCCGAGCAGCGGGGGGGGGGGCACTGCTACTGTGACTTGCTATGTTCTGCTATTGCTTCTGCTACTGCTATGTCTAATATACTACTACTACTACTTACTACTACTACTACTACTATATCTACTACTAACTACTACTATTTAGTTACTTATCACTACTACTATACTAATACTACTACTACTACTACTACTACTTCTACGGCTACTACTACTACTACTACTACTACTACTATACTACTACCACTGCTACGACTACTACGACTACTACTACTACTACTACTACTACTACTACTACTACTACTACTACTACTACTACTACTACGACTACTACGACTACTACGACTACTACGACTACGGGACTACG